TAATATCTTCCCCTTTCTCCCTTATCCTTCCTCTTCCGTATACGCCTTACGTTCCTCTTATCTTTATCTCTCTTCCTTACCTTCCCTTACGTATAGTATCTTAGTTACTAGAATCTATTATCTCTTATACTATAGTCGCTTCGTCTAATTAGGAGGCGTATTTTACCTATATAATATATAGGCGAATTTAGCTAATTAGGAAGTAGCGTTAGTCCTAGCGTAGGTCTTAGCGCTAGTCCGTTAGAACGGAGCCTTCTCCTAGGTTTAACCCATCATAGTAGGAGTGTTATCCTGTATATTATATAGGTAAATTCCACTAACTACGTTCTAGTCTGTAGACTCTCTCATTACGCTAGGAGTCCTCGAAAGTAGCGTATAAGGATCTCTTTAACTACTAGATAGAAACTACTCGTGAATCGGGAGATCTAGAGATAAATAAAGATCGAGTACGGAGGCTTTAGCCGTGCACCGAACTAAAGTAGAGATTTCGAGGGGAATCAGCCTTGAAATCGATACCACTTTATTCAACGGTTGTTAAAGTCGCTATTAATTTCCACGACTGTCATAATGACTTTCCTAGGCTTCCCCTCCCAGACAGAGCTTCACGATATCGTCGTCTCTAAGATACTTTCGGCGAAGTCGGCAAGGTCCTAGGTCCGGCTTGGTCACCGAGTGCTGTTTATACATGAAGAGGCATTCTCCATGGAAGGCGTGGCCGCACTTAGTGGACCCTGTCCCGTATCTTATTCCAAATCTCGTACTTAAAATCATCGGCGCTCTTCAATTCCCTGTTCGTAGCTTTCAGATCTACCTCTAGGTGTCTCTTGCGTCGTCGTAGCGAGTTATTCTCGTAATTGTACCAGCGAAGCTTCTCAGCCTACGCTCGAACCTTCTCTCGACTGCTCGCGATGGTCGCGAGAGGGTCGAGTTAGGAGAGAGTTAAGCAGTTCTTCGCAACTATTGTGTTCGAGCCGAGTCTGGAGTCGGGGTAGAGCTCGGCTGATGTGTAGAAAGTATACTAAGGAGCTTGGCATTGTTTACATTATGACGTGAAGTTTGGGACCCGCTTAGTAATCGGAGCTTCTCCTGGCGACTAGTCTGTGGGTGGTCGTAGGGCTCGAGAGGGGCTTGGCTGCCTCGTTTCGGCCTCCCTCCACGTCCTATCAGACCAAGAAGTCTCCATCTTTAGACCAGCCTTGGGTTGCAATGTTACCCGCGAAATTTGCGCTGGCAACAATAACTGAGCTAGCAGCCCGGAAATCGGGCCTTCCGGACACATGAAACACCAAAGATGGGAACCTAAGGGGCTGCGTTATGGGTCCCTACCGGGGTCCGTAGCCGTACATACTTATGCTGCTCAGACAAAGCCTCATGGCTCGCTATAGCTCAGGATAGCTTAGTAATAGGACTCGTAACGATAGGTAGAAGCTAGTTACGGCGCCGAAGCGGAGCACTCCCTACCCTATTAAAACTACTAATTTACTACTCGTAAACTTCTGCCTGTTTACTACCCGTTAGTCCTTTTATTACCTAGCTCGTATACTACTACCTGTTCACTCTGGATCACCCCTGATCACCCTTGATTACTCTTGATCACTACTGATCACTACTGCCTGTTGACCACCCATTAGTCCTTTTATTACCTAGCTCGTATACTGCTGCCTGTTCGCTACTGTTCGCTACTGTTCGCTACTGTTCGCTACTGTTCGCTACTTCCTGTTCACTACTGTTCGCTACTTCCTGTTCACTACTGCTCGTAAACTTCTGCTCGTACATTTCTGCTCGTACATTTCTACTCGTATATTACTACTCGTACCCTATGTAGTGCCGCTCACACTTGACCTAAGATGCGAGTTCAATCAGCCATCTTCTACCTATCCTCTAGGATATACGTTATCCTCATACGTACACAGCCGTGGTTCAATCGACCTTGTTTACATCACAATTCAACAACTTTTGTTTCGGTCAAATCTGGATTAGCTGTCATGATTGGTTTAGTTTGGGTTGTAAAGATAGCCAGCCACACTAGTCGACGCAGCTTGCGCACTAGCTCAAGGCAGCTGGTACACTAGCTCGACACAGCCCCGCCAGACTATGGTATAATGACCAATGAAAGAAAAAGGTAACCAGGTCGAAACTGAAACTTGCAAAGTTTTGCACGCACAGCCTCGTAACCTCCTACTCGTACTGAAGTAGAAGGGTACGAGCAGTGAGTGGCAAAGTAGTTGATGCCCAACTCGCTAACCACAACGAGCCACAGAGAGGGTACGAGCAACGAAAAGGCGTCCGATTCCTACGCTAGCCAATTTCGGCTTACTGGTTTCTAGTGGCCGCCTTTTGAACAATGAGCACCCGCAGCTTACCGGTCGCCGCCCGCAAATCAACGGCCGCTATTCATCGCGAGTATGACGTTAACAAGAGCGAGTGAGAGGCATAGTCTCCCAGCCCCCTCCAAGTGGGTATGTACAGCTTGAGGTGGTTGGTGTACGAGCAGCAGTGTACTAGCTAGGCAACAAGAGGACTAACGGGCACTAAGGGAGGAAACAGGGCGAGTGAAGGATTAGGTTACCTAAAGCTGACTAGCGTTCTTGCAAAATATGACGAGTCGCAAAATTTACAATTCACAATTCCCCGATTCAGAAGGGTACAAGGAGCATGCACGTATAGTACGAGTAGCATACTCGTATGGTACGAGCAGCATATAAGAGCGAGGCCTACTAGTCATGAGAAATTTATAATTTACTATTTGCAATTTCCTGATTCAGAGATGTACGAGGAGCATGGTCGTATGGTACGAGGAGCGGCCTAGAGTGGGGCCCACTACTAGTCATCAGAAATTCATAAATTATGATATAAGATTCCTAATTTAAAAATGTACGAGGAGTATACTCGTATGGTACGAGGAACATGCTCGTATACTACGAGGAGCGGCCTGGAGTGAGGCCCACTATTAGTCGTATATATGATCTACATAGATTCTGGCCCTATGACATCACTACGATAGGTAGTAGCATTACCATCCGGAGCTGCGACTTTTGGCAGGAGGTGCCTCTCATGAACGCAAGCTGATTCGCAAATGCGAGAGGTTGTATAGTGCTTTGCCGGGGGGCTGATTGAAATTGCAGTACGAAGGACTATCTGAAAAGGTTGAGGTTCTGTTCTGTGAATAATATCTCAAGTGGCACGTGATTAACGTGCCAAGAGATGAAGTCCCAGATGGCACTAGTGCCAAGGGACCAGGTCCGTGACAACACATGGCAAGGCATGGTGCTTTTGACGGCTGGCTTTCTGACAAGAGAAGGGAAGAGTTGCTTGTCAGGACCACAGCGATGAGAGGGGCGGCACGTACCGTAGCCTGCGGCAAGTACAGTGGCCCGAGGCATTTACCGTACCGCGAGGCATGTGCCGTGGTCCGAGGCATGTGCCCTGGACCGAGGCGGCCGGCCTCTATATAATTAGCGGACTTTTTAGGCTCGATATAGCTAGCGCTCCCGCAATTTGGGCTCATTATAGCTAGAGGTCCCACATATTTGGGCTCGACATAGCTAGCGCTCCCTCGAATGTGGATCTACACACGTGGCTGAGATCTTCCGAGTCTGGAGGATGCTCGTACCCTATGAGCAGTAGACATTCCAGACCATAGTGGACCGGCCCGCCCCTCTCGCAAACGTGGTATGCGAATTCACGTGAGTTTCCCAAAGTTTAAAGGGTGGTGGTATGGTACGAGCAGCAAGGGTTTCCGGCCTCAACCAGCCTACGCCGCCCTTTTCATAAATGTAAATTCCGAATTCACATAAATATGCAAGAGCGTTAAAGTCTGGATGATGCTCGTAGGGTACGAGGAGGATCAATGGCCTAGTCCGCCCTGTTGTGGAATGCGAATTCACGAAACAAGGGAGATTTCCAAAGTCTGGATCATGCTCGTAGGGTACGAGGAGCAGAGTTTCCAGCCTTAGTATACTAGTACACCCCTTCTTTTACACGTGCAAAATCTAAATTTATTCCAGTTATGCAATCCCGACTCCCGGAAAATATGTAGAGTAGAGGGTAATGTAGGGTACGAGGAGGGTAATGTAGGGTACAAGGAGGATCATTGAGCTAGTCCGCCCTCTTGTGGAATCCGAATTCGCGTAAGTAAGGGAGATTTCTAAAGTCTGCATCATGCTTGTAGGGTACGAGGAGAATGGTCGTAGGGTACGAGGAAGATCAATAAGCTAGTCCTCCCTTTTATCCGAATTCACGTGAATAAGGGAGATTTCCAAAATTGAGGGGATGCTCGTAGGGTACGAGGAGGCTAGTCGTAGGGTACGAGGAGGAGAGTTTACAGACTCAAATATGACCTTTCATCGATGAAATCCCTCATAAAAGCAAAATACACCCTCGCGCACATGCCAGAGGTCACAAAAGTCGTAGCTTTTACCGATGTCAATCTGACGTACATGTGGAGAGGTCGCAAAAGTTCGTAGGTTTTACCGAGCGACCCATCTCTCACGTGCAAGAAGGCAAAGGCTGGTCGTATGGATGAGCAGCAGAGCTTCCACGAGAATTCGCACCTGTGCGTAAATGTTGGCGCCTTTTCTACGAAATCGCGCAGAGCTTTTGCCTGCCGGGTTTACCGAGGTCCAGAACGTTGAGTAGCATGCTCGTATGTACGAGCAGTAGAAGACCCTCTCGGAGACCTCTGGGACATCCCTTGGAGACCCCTCGGAGACTTTTCCACAGACAACTCCGTCAGTGTGTACGCCGTTGAGTAGGTCTAGCCACATAGGTGTTCACCTAGGTGCGTACTTTCCAGGCCCTCAGTACACTTTATGGTACTTACTCGTAGGTACGAGGAGGAGGGAGTCATGGCTGCGAGCGGGGTGTGTGACTCACTCGGGGTCTGTGACTCACTCGGGGACTAGAGACCTAGCTAGAACCCACTGGGAGACCGAAAGCCCGGCCTAGAATATGAGCAGAAGGGTATGAAGTGGAGGTGGACGCCTTGCCAAGAGACTGCCATGGCTGCGAGTGGGGTAGGTGAGTCAGTCGGCGGCTGGAGACCTCCACTGGGAGAGCGAAAGCCCGGTCTAGAACATAAGTAGAAGGGTATAAAGTGGAGGTTGACGCCTTGCCAAGAAACCGCCATGGCTACGAGCGGGGTATGTGACTCACTCGGGGACTAGAGACCGGCCTAGATCATGAGCAGAAGGTTACGAAGTGGAGATGGACGCCTTGCCAAGAGGCCGCTAACATTCCTACGAGCGGGGTGAGTAGCTCACTCAGCGACTAGAGACCGGGCTAGAACTCATAAGGAGATAGAAAGCCCAGCCTATAACATAAGCAGAAGGGTACCTGGTGGAGGTGGACGCCTTGCCAAGAGGCCGCTAACAAGGCCTAGAATGCACTTAAAGACCGTAATTCTCGCCACCCTATGAGCAGTAATGTACGAGGAGGAATGTACGAGGAGAATGGAGTCGTGGCTGCGATTAGTGTTCCGTCTCGCCAGGAGATTGCCAACTCGGTCTAGACCACAGTGGGAGAGGTCTCCCGGTGATGTGGCGAAGTGGAGAGAGTGGTGTGCGCCTTGCCAAGGGGCCAGCTCCCCTGAAACACGACTAGTATTGTGTGAGTGGCAGACAATCATGGCTGCGATCTGTGTTGATTGGTCAGGGGTCCGTCGGCCCCCAGAGCCTAGGACACATGCAGTATAGTGTTAGGGGTATAGCGCGTGGCTGTGATCGGTGTTTGCCTTCCAGAGGCCCCAAATTGACCTGTTCGAATCTATGAGCACCTACGAGCAGCATGGTACGAGCAGCTACTAGTAGGGTACGAGGAGCAATTAGACCCCATTGAATCCGAAATCCATCGAATCCGAAATCCATGGAATGTTTGAATCTACGAGTACCTAAGAGTAGCATAGTACAAGCAGCTACTCGTAGGGTACGAGGAGCAATTAAACCCAATTAAAGCCGAATACCATGGAATGTTGAAATCTACGAGCACCTATAACTAGTATAGTACGAGTAGCTACTAGTAGGGTACGAGGAGCAATTGGACACATTAAATCCACCGAATCCGAAATCCATCAAATCCACCGAATCTACCGATTCTGAATCCCATTGAATCCGAAATTCATCTAATCCACCGGATCTACCGAATTTGAATCCGATCGAATCTGAACCCCACCGGATCCACCGAATCCAAGTTCCAATCCAACCACCTACGACTCCCACACCCAAGTCCGCCAGCCCAATTCGCTCGGCTGTCAACTACCAAAGCCTATCCCATTATATCATGGAACGAATGCGGGTCAAGGAGATTTTATTTATACAAAGAAAAAAAAAAAAAATGGTGCCTTTATATTGAATGGAATGAAAGCACAAATGAGAAGAGAAAGCCCTTCCCCCCCCCTCTCCACCTTTCGCCCCTCTACCGGCACATGCCATCCCTCTTCGTATCATCGTCCTCTAACTGGTAGGCAGCGCGCTAAGCTTTTACATCGTGTCATCCATTCGCTCTAGCTTTACGGGTGACCCGGAAGCGGCGACTCTGATGGATGCTGTGTATGGTCTTGGGTGTTCTTGGGTCTGAGACTAGGCCGGGATGCCATCATTTACATTAAGGTTGAATAAGCGCTGAGGTGCGGCTGTGGCATGATGGATGGTTGACCGACTTATCCTCGGAATTAGTCTCGGCTCACAGAATTGCTAGGTTTTTCACCATCTCATTGAACGACGCAACGGAATGAGTATTTGATACTGGCGCGGTAGGCGAGAGGGGAATGAAACGTGTGCTACACGTAGAAAGGTGAGTCGCACCGCCCCGATGGACATGGGCCGGTCCCCGATTGGCTGACACGTCGCCGTGTTGTCAGCAGCAGCACAGTAAAGCCCGCCTTATACCACGCCATATTCTATTTCTCAGCACGTTGCATCCTGAGAACATGCGGGCAGATGCCATGAAGACCCATGTCGCCGAATCCCGACTCGTCCACAGGGCACCACCCGTAATTTTGGTGTTGCCATAAAGCTGACAAATCAAGGAGGCAAGCCGTCCCTCCCAGCATCTCTTGCCGAGAGCTCGCCATCAAACAAAACTCTAAGTCCTCGCGGACCCTGGGAACACCAAGACAATCGCTAGACACTTTTTGGAGAACACACAAGGACGTGGTTCCGAGAGGGAACTTGTTTGGGCGAAGTGCGGGGAGGAAGTGTCGGTGGGGAATCCGTTTTGGGGTTGATAAAAAAGAGTAAACATGCTTCCATTTTGGGATTAGTGTATAGTGAGTAAACATCTTTCCGGTCTGGGATTAGTATATAGTAGTCAACACCCTTCCGTTTTGGGACTAGTATAAAATAGTAAACATCCTTCCGTTTTAGGATTAGCATATATTAGTAAACATCTTTCCGTTTTAGGATTAGACAATGGGAAACATCCTTCCGTTTTGGGGTTGGTACACAAGTGTTACTTATTTTGGAAACGTCTTTTTTTGTTACCCGGGCATTGGAACTCGGGTATTACGGCACATCCTTGGCGCCGCCCCTCATTCCACATGGGATCCTTCCGTGACATCCTCAACTGCCGGCTTCGTCGGCCACCATCTGATCCCCCCGCCACATCACACCGCTACCGAATTTTGTCAGTTTTGGAGTTCTCTATTGGCGCCTGGCCCAGCGGTACTGAGAGAGAGAGTTGGGGTGTTATCAGTCCGGGGCGTCGTGAGAGGGGATGCGGTCCAATTGCAGGTTGGCCCGTGCAGCATTCTGACCCTCCCGCTGGCATCCCATTGCTATTACCACTCCATGCCGGGACTGGTTCCACGCCGTTACTAAGTTTATGCATGGTGCCGTTGTCTACTTAATAAATGCGCAGGCATGACAACTACCCGAGTCCGAATTGGTGGCGATAGGGCTATACTACCTTACGGCCTCTCCCGTTCTGGCTCGCTCGTTGGCGTTTGGTGGCGCGGGTGTTTGGGTTTGAGTGCGAGGGCATGTCCGCACCCTATCGCCAAGGCTTAGGGCCATGAACATCTCCACCGATCACGATCACAGATCTAATCGATGCGAACAGCCTCAACATTTTTCGTCCGAACCCCCTTCTAGTACACATAAGTGAGTCCTCTCGGCTAGTCAAACTCCTCATCCTCAGTTTGATGCTGCCTGCTCATCCTTCATGTCTCCTCCGACCTCATCCCCATGGCGCCGCCTCCCCTCTTGGCTCAGGACAAGTGTGAATAATAACGTACCGTATCTTTTGTGCTTCGCTCCACAGCCAGCATGAACGCAACCGCTCAGAGCTCGCTACACCTTGATCGGCTATTGAACACAAGTTCCATTTCCATGGCGTAGGACCGCTAGCTTGCACGTCACATGATCCATCCGATGGTTCTTATGATGCGGCGTACGGTTCGTAGGGTGCTTTTCTTTTGTAGGGTGCAACCACACCTTCACGAGCACGTTGACATCTTGCTGCTACTAATATGTGTCTCCACGCAGATGGCCGTCAGGAATCGGAGAATCCCCAGCCACCGATTGTGCCGGTCGCTGCACCCGCCACTGACAATTGTGCCTCGCCGCCCTGGTAGACCGCCTTCCCCATATGACCAAACGTCGTAAGCGCCTACCACGCCGTCCTAGATTCCCACAATCCGTTTTGCCCGCCGCCCAAACGTGAGCGCTCGGTCACCATCATGACCCTCACTGACCTGTCGTCTCTTGGTCGTCGAGGAGTGTCGTTCACCAGCCCAAACAAGGCCGAAAGCCGTCGCTTACCTCCCGCGCCCTCTGATTTGTTCTGCACGCATTGCCTTAATAGGCAGGGGGGCATCTGGACAAACATTTGAAGAGTTAAATTTGTCCAGCGCTGTACCAAACTGCCTGAACGCGAAATCCCCGCCACGTCACGAGATCTCCTCATTGGGTACTTGGGGGTCTTGGCTCACGTGAGTCCTCCCCAGGGATCGTTATGGCTGCGTACCTGACACTCGTTCATAACGTTCGCTACTCTCAGTAACGGCTTTGGCTGGAGAGGCCAGCGTTGCCAGGATTCGACTCCTTGATTCGCTTATATAATCAGAATTCGAATCCTAACCAACTCAATTCTTGGCATTCTTAGCAGCGCTAGTAGTGGCCATAACGTTGCAACTCAAAATCTAAGCGACACATTAGCTAGTAAATTATATGGCAAAATGTCGCAAGTGTAGAACTTACCATGGATTCACCCGCCACCATAACGACTAGTATAAGCCGTCTCTCCTTAGGAACAACAACACTATCGGTCCTATCGCGGCGATCTAAGAATAGGTCGATTAATGGCATTTCATAGCTTCAGGTGGGCCACCTACCTAATATTAGGCGTAAAATAGCCTCTTCAGACATCTAGTGCCATGGCGATCAATATATAAACATTGTAAACCCTAACAAATAACGCGTTTGGATCCATAACTATTACGATGCCGTTGTCACTCTGACGGCGAGGATGAGCACTTCTAATGCCCAACGGCATCTCAAACAGTTTTACAAGTCGTTTCTGAGGCGGCACAATGCCTGAAACACTGGGTGGATCACAGTCTATATCAAATCGGTTATTACGGAACGGAATAACCTAATTCCAACTAATCAGGAGCCAGCGCCACCTACGAGTCGACTCCAGGAGTCGAATCCCGACTCCTGGGGGGTAAGGAGTGGGAGTCGGAGTTGCAGGAGTCGAATCCTGGCAACGCTGGGAGAGGCACGTGCTTGCCATCTTGTGCACCCTCTACCCACGTGGCGGGACTCACAGCCTCTTTGGCGTTAGGTAAACGGGTGAACTACGGCGTGAAGAATCGACTGTACTCTGTATGTCCAGCCTCGTGTGAGTTCCCGCTGCGTACGTAGTCAACTCGCAAGTTGGTGATCCAGCGCCGACGTTGACGTTCCTTTCGGTGCTGTGAACGACAAACCGTATGGCCGACCCAGACGACAGCTGTTGGCATATGGGACACACGCTGGCCTGGTCACGAGCGGCGAATGGAGCATACCGTGGTGCTACAAAATTTGGTCATTCGGAGCCTTCGTCACTGCTCTGTGCCAGCCGGCGCCGAACAGGTTTCTGGAGGGCGCTGAAGCCACTGAAGGACAGGGCATAGACGACAAACTGACTACTGATGTATGGCTTCTGCGCCCTGACGGCGTTTGATGTATATGAACCCACTCATGGACAGCGAGCCGACAAAACCGTTCCCTCCACTATGATGCTTATTTGACTCGCTTCTGAACATCCTACATACAGCGCCCGATTCCCACCCGTACTATTCAACGGCGGACACACCATCGCCGCGCCCGGCATCAGTTCCTACGTCTGCTGCTTCCACTCCTTGGCCCGAGACACGTCTCGCGGAGCCCACGCGCGCCCACGCGCGCCCAAATCTCACAGCTAGGCGGTGCACCGTTCCCAACGTCCGCTGACCACTCTGGTTCTCCCTTGGACTTGGCTTTCAGCGCCGGTCCCAATACCAGCTCCGGCGTTGAAGAGGACTCCGACGGCGATGCTGCTCCGACCTACGCTAAACTAGGTGGCGAGGCCCCACTGGGACATGTCGCAAGTTGTAAGGAGGCGGGGAGCCACTGCAACGACTGATCATCGAGGCCGAGGAGGAGATGTGGACGCTTGAGTAGGCATCACTGCAGGCGTCCGTCAGCCGCGCTTGGTGTCCTCACGACAGGTGTGTGGAGGCCTTACACTGGGGGTCCCGGGGGGGAGGGGGCAGCCGGGCGCTGGGCTTGTCGGCAGCACCAAGTTCCTCTCGGAGACTGGCTCCTCACCACAAGAGCTACATTAGACGGAGGGTCCTACGATCCGAGAGCAAGACCACCAAAGAGGCGACAATGCTCACCCGCGGCGAGCGTATCTCGACGCTTTACAGTCCAGTCATCAAGACCTAGCTGACGAGTTACACCATGTATGATATGAGGAATGTAGGCTTTCCACACCTGTGTGGCAAGCCATGGCCTAGCCACCGATAAAGGCCGCGATCAGTTCGATATCTTGCAGTCTGACGAGGCAAAGACGAGAGCAGACATCGACACGATCATTACTTGGAAGAAGACGAAGAGGAGGTTCGGATATGCCATCTTTGCCCTTTCCGTACTGCCTGTTTCCCTGTGTGTGCAACCGACGACGACGACCATGACGGCAACCACGATGGCGAGCAGAACATGGATGGTGTCGTGGGGGGTCACTAGACGCCGAGGTAACCTGCTCTTCCTTCAGGATTCGAACCTTGGGAGGTTCGTGGGAGTCACCGCCGCGATATCTCTGGGGACGGTTGAGGAAGCAGCCGTGCTCATGATACGATGGCTGTGATCCGAATGTCGGAGTACTCCACAGCCCACCTTGCTTTTGGTCCATCCAGGTGGCAGACGGGAATCAGAGGCGGTCGACCATTCCCTCATGGCGCCTACCTCTTCACCCAGAAACCCCCATGCATCAGGTTCGCCGAGCAAGAACAGATACTGCGGTCCCCGAGAGCGCCGCGATGTGCGTCCTTGGGTCGGCTAAGGCAATGAACTCCAACCTCTGCACACAGCTGATAGCCGATAGCCGTAACCAGGGGGGAACGGTAGTTGGCTGACCACGTGAGAGGGTCTCGCCTGAGAAGCGTCGTGACTCCCCTGGCAGTTCGCCCACATGTTGGTCATTTAGTCGTCCTGAGTCGAGTGAGTTTCGTCAAACGCCACGCCTTCCTGCCTCGCTCGCCTGATTGTGACCGTCGCGGTGGCGGCCCCGGGTGCTATTCCGATAGACCGTAATGAGCAGAGGAGGGATGCGTTCCTGAACCGTCCGTGTGCTTACTGTTTGCATGGTTTTTTGACAGCACCGAACCGAAAACAAACACTTTTTCTGTTCGCGGCCCGACTCGCGAGATATGCGTCTGTGCCTCCTAGTCAATCCGCTCCCGGCTCTGAAGCGTGTGCAGTGGCTGTACAGTGGCCTCAACCCTGTCGCTTCGCGCCAAATCTTGCCACGAGGACGCTCCGGTCTCTCGGGTTCCCCCATCGAGGGGGCCGAGTGCCCTAATCTCTCCGCCTGGGCTCATTTTCCTCTCCAAGCGTCTCCGGACCAGACACACGAAAATAGCGGGCACTGCCACAGTATGGCTCCTCGTATCGCTCGAGACGCGTGCACACAGTCAGAACAGGGGCCTCCAATTCTATATTACACATGAATAGAGGTATGGACACGAAGAGGGCCCGTAATGGTGAAGGTCGTGACGATTGTGAACTTTTTTTTCCCAAGGTGAAGACCGTGACTGTGAGTTTGCGTCCCTGCTCTTGTAGACCGACCGTGGCATGCATATATTGGAGAGATATGGACATGAAAAGGGTCGTAACGTTGAGGCGAAGGCCATGAAGATCCGCATGTCACATAGCAGGCAAGACTGGCTTACATGTTCTACCGTAAAAATAGCACTTGACGGTCCACCCTACTTGATAACTAAGCGAGGCTGCATGTCACATGGCAGGCTGAAAATATTGACCATTTCGAAATTTCAGAAACGTTGTCTGTCGGGTCACAAAAACTTCCAGGTACTTCCTAATCGGGTAACTCTCCTACCGAAAATAGAAAAGTTCTTAGCAAGCTTAGCTTAGATGTTCCGCCGTAAAAACAGCACTTGACGGTCCGCCCTACTTGATAACTAAGCGAGGCTGCATGTCACATGGCAGGCTGAAAATACTGTCCATTGCAAAATTTCAGAAATGTTGTTTGTCAGGTCACAAAAACCAGGTGTTTCCTAATTGGGTAACCCTCCTACCGAAAACAGAAAGGAGCTTGGCAACACTGCGCCCGAGGCATCGTCCACCACCTCAACGTAAAATGAAACAGCGTCATACGTGCGTCTCGACCGTGATAAACGCGACCAGATGGCTTCCGACTGGATCCTGGGAGTGAAACCCCACGTCGAGCGAGACGTTGCGGCTGGGGCCGATCGTGACAACAGGAAGTCCGATGACGTTACCAGCGGACTCAACCGCCGCAGCCGTTTACATACCGATGATCGATCCTCCCAGGACAACTCCGTCTCAAATGCGGTTACCCAAGGCCAGCAGTCCCAGCCGGCTCAGCCGGCACAGCAGGGCAATAACTCTGAACGGCCGCACCGACACCCAAAGCGGCGTCCTTAGGCGCAGCCAGTCGGGCGTTAGCCACCGTACCTCCTCCGACAGGGTCCCCCAGGGTCAGGATCGTCCAATTCAGAAGCGCAGCCAGAACCAGAACCAGGACGGTGCTTCGACCGTCAACAAGCGCAGCGAGTTGACCAGTGCCTGCGTCTTGTCCACCAAGACTCCCCTCGAGACCACCTACATTCTTGTGCGCTGTGCTTAAAGGGACATGTGCCCCTTGTTTATGATGTGGCGTACTGTCAAGTTCTCGGGTCAAGGGCGTACGTACCTCGAGCTTCCTCTGTCGGAGGGCTAGGTGGCATTGACGGTTACGTGCCTGGGGAGGGGGTGGTTCTTCCCGTTGCTCAAGTGCAAAAGTTCATACGCGCTGGCTCGCTCGCCGGGAGTGCGGAGGTCAGGATGGGAGCGGTGGTGGCTTTTGTTTTTATCCCCTTTTTGATGTTTTCGGGTTGTCGGTCCAGCGGGTCCACTAATTCAACAGTTTTTTCTGTTTCCACTATTAGGGTGGCGTGTTCTCGAGGAATTCAATTGGATGTCCTTTCCACTCTTCTTGACGCTTCATCGTTGATGTGCCCGATGTCGACGAGACTCCAGAACTATACCTTTGCAGGGAACCCCCTCCTGTGCCCGCACCATGGCGATCTGTTAGCCTGCCGCCTCTGCAGCCGTCCTCTGGGCAATGTGCAATCTCATTAGGAATCTCCACACCGTAGCACGCGACGTAGGTTTAAGGCTGCAGGCTTGGATTGATGGCTGCAATGATGGCTTGTCTGTCACAAGCTTCTGTCAACCCCCCATTGACACACGGCGTCCCCCTGGGCGTGTCGGTGGCGCATGTTCGCCGCCCTTGTGTGTTGCGTCTCTGACTGCATGCAAGCAAGCCCTGTGGTGGCGGCCGTGACTGGACAGACGGGCCATGCGCACTTGGCCTCACCTCCACACTGCCCGGGGTCTTGCCGCCCCCGTTTTCTCCAACCCGAGCTCTACCCTATCCCACGCCAAGGGCTACAGAAACCCCCATCTCCTGGGCGATCGGAACCTCGACGAGCGCCCCCTTAGGATACAGCTCGGCGGCGCTGCAAGGGACATACCGCCGGACATCCTCACAGCCCCTGAATCTGATTTCGGTCCTGAACACGACGTCGCCGCTGCTCTGTGAGCGGTCCGCGTTAGTCGTGCGCTAGTGTCCGGGAAGTAGGCAAACAGGCATGTGTGCCGAAGTTATGCCTGCCGACAGCGAGTTCAGTAGACGGCAAGCAGCAAGGCGGCAAGGTGAGACATCGATTCAGCTGTGCACAAAGACGCTGGATGGCACAAGTCCCCGTCGAGCGGCTAGGTCGGTGGCCGCCTCTGCCTGTGGTGGCAAAATGCCTTGGCGCTACATGTCCTGGCCCTTGGCCCCCACACTAAAGACACTTCACCATGTCCCTCTAGGCACGAAGCTTTCTAGGATTCGGATTCAATAGGATTCGGATTCGATGGATTCGATGGATTTGGTGGATTCAGTAGGTTCGGTAGGTTCGGTGGGTTCGGTAGGTTCGGTGGGGTTCGGATTCAATGGATTCGATGGATTTGGTGGATTCGGTGGATTCGGTGGATTCAGTGGGGTTCGATGGATTTCGGACTCGGTGGATTCGGTGGATTCAATGGGGTCCAATTACTCCTCGTACCCTACAACTAGCTGCTCATACTATGCTGCTCGTAGGTACTCGTAGATTCAAACATTCGATGGATTTCGCATTCGGTGGATTAGCTGGATGCAGCTAGTTACCCGAAGCCGATCGGCCCTCCAAGGCTTCCGGCCAGGCACCCGAATGCCCTACACGGCGGATCCCCATAACTAGCCTGCTGGAACCTCGATCGCTCGTGCCCCGACAGAACCATCCATACACGGACTCTTTCCAGCGAGGTTGCATACTGACTCAGCACACGTACGTCATGGCGTCGGCGTATACACCTAATGCATGAAGTACCCACACTGTCGTACGCGACCTACTACTATATAGACGATGTTATATGCATTGGTGGCGCCCGAACCCTCTGTGGATCTTTTTGTCCTCCAAGTGCCCCGGCTCGGGGGTGTGTACTTGGGTGTGATACCCCCCCCCCCCCCCCCCCCCATCAACTCATTATCGAGTCGTGTGTAGGAGCTACTCCGTCTGCCGCTACTTTCTTTGATTTCTCTCTCCTTCACCCCGGAATGGCGGTTGAACTTTGAGGAGAAGGAGATGGGAGACTGACGGAGCCTCTTCTTACCAATTAGGAGACGCGAGCCACCCGGATGCTCGCCTTGCGTCCTCGTCAGAACTTTTGAGCAGCCTCGGGCGGAAACCTTGAGCGGCCTTGGGCGTCGAAACTGGACAGGAGGTAAGCTAATAGTGCAGGGATTGCGGGGACTGTTGTACGCGGTTCATACCTATCTCATTAGGAGGCCCAGCTATCCAATCGGTTATTTGCACGTGGGTTGACGGCCGTATGCACCCCAAGTTGTGAATGAGGCTGAGGCTGAGGCGCCCTTGTGATGTACATTAATCGTTTCGTCACTTACTTTTTGCGTTCAAGGCCTGACAGAGGCGAATAATCTCAGCCACCGGGGGCCGGAGCAACGCTACGTAACAAAACGTGTCCTTAGCGTCGAACGCGAGCGGAGAATTTACCATCGTACTTGCTCTACCGTGTCAGGCGTTTGCCTTGCCCGCTGGTGGTCCCGATCACGGAGTGTGGCGCCCCACGACACATATACTACACAGGTGCGCCACACGGTTACCGTCTCGTGGGATCATGGCACCGACTTCAGAACCGCACAGAGGTCGGGGGACGTGACTGCAAGCGGCTTGGATTAGTAATAACCTGTACGGAATGGTTCCATCCGCTATGCCCAAGGGATAGAATGAGGTATTTGTATGGCCACAATCTGATCTGATAATATATAATACTTTACTACCACGCCTACCCGGCTTCCTTGTATCAATCTGTACCCGTGCACGCTACCCCGGTGCTCTCCCTCTTCCCCTGCTACCCTCCCTGCCTCAAAACGCTTTCTCAAGGTCCGCATATGCCGGCCACGTTATTTCGACGACCTCGGCCGGGCGCCACAAACACCGTCCTTTCCTCATCATAACCAAGACGAGCCGTTAACGAAGTCAGGTGATGTCCGAGATCGACGAGGGGTCGGTAGCGTGGCGACACGAAGTCGACTAAGAGGTGGCAAGAGCGGGAGGAGAGGAGAGACGGAAAGACGAGGAGGCAGGACTGGATGTGATCCTGGATAGATGAAAGCAGTGAGTAACTACGAGGACAAGCCCCTGCCTACGCATGCTTGACGCACCTGTCCGGAGACCCGGTTAACCTAAAACTCGCCAAGGCATGATCATGCAAGTTGAGTCAGCTAACACGGTCTTGCAGGGACGAGGTAGTCGTCCACTGATCGGTCTGTGAGCTTTGTGACCCCTGAGGAACTCTGAGAGACCACGTCAGACTGAGGAGTGTCAGACGGAGGCTATGGCTCTTTCGTACCTAGATCCGATGCTTCCTGGCTGTATCTTTGGCTCGGTATGTCCTGGTTCTGTGCCGGCGGATCTGCCAGGCTCTTCAAACACGTCATTTTCAACCAAGAGGCCGAAAACCTACCGCTGCCACTATAGCCCGACTCCTGCAGCTGGTGCCGAGCGGGTTTCGCATGTGCCTGCATGATGCCCTTGTGCGCGCGGAGTGTGTACGGTCTTGCGGTGATTGGAACCGCTGGCCGGTGGCCGCTCCGGGCGCGAGATGGACTTTCTCCATTTTGCAGAACTGTTCGCGACATGGGTTGGTTATAAGCCAAAGACTGTCAAAATCGAGGTAGCCTGAGCGTTTGGCCGTTCCTGGCTATCCAGAGATAACTAAGAATACCGACCTGACCTGGGCCTCGGACGTTGCAATGGTGTTGGGGAAAGTCGGGGCCACTAGACGACGCCAAGTTTCCTAATTATCTGCACTGACGTTGGCAAGGCCGGCGCGGCCACCCCCCCCCCTCCCCGCCGCCCTCGAACCTCACCTACAGTTCGCGCCATCCACCTCCCGCCATCGAGACCGTCCGCGACCCCAACCGCCTACTCCGCACCGACCCGACACTACTAGGTAGCACGCCTTCGCACCCCCCGTGTGCGCGCCGACCCGGTCGCACTCGCACACTCTCATCACGACTAGCTTGTAGAGCA